CTGTTTCTAGCTTCATTCGATGGGCATGCGTAGTCACGACTCATGGTGCATGTTCATGATAATTTTTCACCTGGTGCACATATACATACATTCGATTATGATATAATCTAAGAAACAGAGCTGACAAGTGCTATGTAGTAAAGGAAAAATTTTAAGATGTTTGTAATAGTAGAAACGATTGAGGATGGCGAAATTAATTTATGTGTTGTGCCCGAGAGTTGGGAAAAAACGGCGTTTTATTTTGGCCATCAGGAAGAAAGGAATTGAATCTTCGCAAAAATGAGAAAATTTTGCCAGACTTTAATAATTAGTCTAAACAAAAGTGTACTGTGAAGAGGAGGAATTTTACAACATTTTAAGCTGCTATTAAAGCTGAAAAATATTTGAGTCAGTTTGATGATACTGAAGACGAGCAAAAATAAGTAGCAAAATGCCCAAAGAAAATTTTGGTTTTTCTAGAAGCTGGTGCAACTTTACAGCTATTAATACAGCTACAATAGTTGCGGCTGTATTTTGACTTTTTTATTAGCTGTCACAACTACTTTACAGCTATTGATACGGTTAAAATAGTTGCGGCTGTATTTTGACTTTTTTATTAACTGTCACAACTACTTTACAGCTATTGATATAGCTAAAATAGGTAGGACTGCATTTGGACTTTCTCATTAGCCGTGGCAACGTTTTTACAGCTAAAAATCCAGCGAAATAGCTTTTGTTGCCAAATAGCTGTAATTAAGGTTAGTGGGACGTTATTCCAGCCACATTTTTGCTGTTACAGCGAATATTGCCAGACTGTGTTACTTGGGTCTTAGCAAACTTGCCGCACACTGAGTCGACTTTTCCGTCAATTTTTGGATATTGTAACTTGAATTCTACTTCCAGTATTGGAATTGAAATGCGAGAATATCTATGTTCATGATAATGGAGTTACAGTTCATCGCTATATGATTACCTAGCGGGCAGAAAAGCATATAAACATCCTCTGGACATTCCCAAGATATTGGGACATGGACATTGAGATAGATTCATCTACGGGAAATCCTAGAAATGTTCCTAAGATATCTTATTTTCATCCTCAAGATGACTTATAGACGTCTGTTATACCAAAAACGTTATAAAGAGGTCTTTGTAACATAGAACATCCTTGAAACGTCTTCGAGACGCATATCAGACATCTTGAGAATGTTCAAAAGACGAAACATAGTTTGTGCCCATTAAGCAGCGCCCAAATAACAGATTTCTTGAGTGTATATTACATTGATAAAATGATCTCTTCCCTCAAAATCAAGTTTGGGCTTATAGTAGTATCGTCCGATTCATCGCAAGGGATGCTATTGCATGATTGTTCAGTAATATGGCAATCCGTTAAAAATACCAGGCTTGATTCTATCTTGAATGCATGAAGGTCAGATAAGCCCCTTTCCATATTTAAAGCAGTATATACTCTAGTAGTTTTTGAGAAAATATGGTGATGGAAATTCAACAATGATATGCTGAAATGAGACCAACATTACCACCATGTGAAAAACCCCATTGATTTTCGAGATTTCAAGTTGTCCGTTCTCAGCCTCTAATTGCTCGGACAGCAAACAGTTCCAGAAGGTTGTGAGCTACATCGGTAAGAAGAAAATACCGTAGTTCGAAGCGATTCTGATGTGTGCCATAAAACGGCCTTATTGATACCCTTCCTTTAGAAACGAGAACAACTGAACATTTCTCTACAAAATTTGCGCTGACAAAAGAATTATTCACGTAGATAGAACTATAACTGCAAATTTAAGAAAATATATGAGTGTAAGTTTTTATTTATAAAATATCTATATATTTTTTAATGAATAAACCTAATTTTTATATTAAGATTACTTTTTGTATTTTTAGTATTTATTATCCTCATCAAATTTATTCATTTTCTTATAATTATTATTAATAGTTTTAAAAAATAAATATGAATTACTTATTTAAATTAATGAATCTAATTTATAAAAATTATATACAATATGAGGAATATAATAATCAATAAACTGTTTTTATATAAAATTGAAGGAATTTACACAATTACGAAATTTAAAATAATAGCACAATTTTTGCAAAAAAATAATTGAAAAGTAACGATTCGTTACTTTCTAAATAACTATAACTGTAACATATTATTTTTGAAAGTCAGTAACTTGTAAATCTAACTAATTACTTTTTTAGTGAAAGAACTGTAACTATAACTAGATACTTTTATAAAGTAGCTTCCCCAACCATATGAATTTCTTAACAGGAATTGTCGTTTCAACATTATGTATCTTCATGACCGCTAGGAACGTTCTTTTTTCTCTTCGACATATTCAATATAACTCGGCGAGTGAACGAATGGCACGTGGATGCCACTGAAGTGAATTTTACTCGACTGAGATTTCGTGAGAAAGTTCGCTCTCCCGATGATTTTGTGACGTGACAGCAATGCGTTGTTTCTTGTACTCGTTTCAACATACTCCTACATGGCACGAGCGATCGATGGATTCAGCGTGTTTTCACTACGACAAGCGGAAAGGAAGATAATCCGCGGCTGATAATTTGCGGCTGTGTTTTCTTCTTTTTTTCTTTGATGCACACGTTGTCGATCTCGTGAGAAAACAATCGGGCGATTCGCGCGTCCGCTTTATGATAGTTCTGTCGTGAATGAAGGTTCTCGTCGTTTCATATAATAAAGCGATACCGGACGTAATTGCAAGCGTAACGCAATAAATACACTCAGCATGCAGCAGAGACGCGAACTACCGCATGTAAAGCAAGAGACGATGGGACGTATACGAATAATTAGCTTGTGATTGCGAGTAAACGAGAAGCTCCTTGCTACCGTTACGAATCTCGTAAAATAAAATGTTAACTACTGGAGCGATAGAGATCTCTCTTTTTTTTAAGACGCACGCCTATGTGATACGCAGCTAACACGATGTGAGTCTGAAAAGGTGCAGCTGGTGTCCATTAATAAAAATACCACTTTCGCTGTTGATATAAAGTTATTTTCCTTCTCTTCAGAATGAAAGAAAATCTCAATCGCTTTGATTTTCTAGTTTTTAGATGAAAATAACAATTGCCAAGCAGGTACGAAAACCTTATTCTCATTTACCACTATCCTAAATATTTCTATTTCTATTTCCATTATGACTTCAACTTTTTTACTCGACCAGAGATGTCAGTTTGTACCAAACAGGTTGTACCAAAAAGATGGGTACGGATTAACTTGAAGGAATGACGTTTTTGAAAAAAAATGTTAAATATAAAAGTTTTAGAGTTTGGAAACGGGCATCTAATCGTGAACTTGAACTTGACCTAGGGTCAAATTTAAAGATCAAATCAAGATCAATTTTAAAATCATAAATGGAAATCTTCACTTTTTATTATATCATCTTTTTCTATTAACTAATTTGAACAACTTTTGTCTGAAATATTTTTTATTTGCCTAATATTTTTTGAGATGTTTAAGGAAAACTTTTTCAATATTTAGCTTATGATATCTCGATAACTATTTGTTGGAAGAAAAATGATACTAAACTTTTTTACTCTATTTGGTCTTAAAAATTTGATGTTACAATAACTGATGTTACCCTAACTTTTATTAACTTGATGACCTTTGGAGATTTCAAAATCATCATCTCCCATTCAATCTCATTCTTTTCGAATACCTTGTATATTATTACGGGAGATTCTCTCTTTCCTCTCGCACCTCTATACAGAAGTAAACTAATCTAACCCTATATATCTTTCTATATAATAATTTAACCTCAAATTTCTTTTGTTCATAACTTTGATTTAAATAATTATTGCTGGCTTTTTTACAATGTAGGTTATTTAAGAGCGTGACTTTGGTAAGATCTGCTAAGATCAGAATTCTTCTGCGAAAAGTGTTATTCAAAAAAGAAATATTTACTTATTTTATAGTATTTAAACGATAAAGAACTTTTAATTATTTACCATTACACGATCATTCGCATTATGATTAAATGTCTTTTAAGTTGTATCTTATGCCCTTTTTCTTATTTTCTTATTTTCATACAGTTGTTACTCCATGCACTTGTTACTCCATGCACACGAATTTTACGGGCATTCGTAACTCTCGAGAATCTTATGTACGCGCAGTTCACTCTCACACCTTGACCTTCCTCAACCGGGAAATCAACACACTCTTAGGGAGTATACAGACGCACGTAAAAGCGCGTGTATAAACGCGTGTCTATTATAGCGTGCCTAGCATCAGGACTACCGGCTGACACGAACTTAATCTCAATGTAGTTCATTTTCAAGTGAAGGAGAACCGAGCCAGGTCGCTACTGCTGGTTTATATAATTAAATAGACAATTGGTCTCTTCTAATTAATATTTCTAACGGTCACTCCAAATTATCGCTTCAATGAAAAGAAAACAACTAGCCTTTGTCGATATTGTCATTGCGATTGCACTACGTTTAGAAATATTATAGATGTACTATATATAATTTTATATGTACTATATATAATTTTCTATATAATATTTTTTAATAATTTTTAATAATCGTTTAATAAGAAAGTAAAGAAATTTAATAAGAAAATTTGGAGTATTTCATAGAATATATAATAAGGAAATTTGAAGTATTTCATAGAATTATATAATACCAAAGAAATTTAATATATTAATAATACTGCACATTATTGATATTGAATAATATCAATATTCAATCTTCTAATATTAAATTCTAATATCAAATTATAATATTAATTTGTAATAATGAACATTTAATATTTAATTAAAAAATATGTATATATTTTTTAATTAAATATTAAATGTTCATTATTACAAATTAATATTATATTTAATTTCCTATATTTATATGATATTTTTTGTATTTTTATTTTTTATATCTATCTTTTTGCTTTTATATTCGTCTAATTTATTATTTCTGCAGAAAAACCTATTCGGCATCGTTTGTTAAAATTGTGAATGTTTTCTTTTTAATCGGCTATTTTAATACTTTACCGAAAGAGAGCTGATTCGCTGAAAGTACGTCATCTTCTCCTGGTTGTAGACGGACTTCCATCTTCTTCAGACGCGAATGCAAATCCCTCGTGTGCAGGAAAAGAAAGAGCGTACTGGAGATTGCTATCAAAGCAATCAGCTCGATAGTCCTGTATATACAAAAGAAGATATACATGTTATATAATTTCTCAGATCTCCTGGTCACTTTTAACGTTGCTTATTGCTTATATGACGGACAGCGGGAGCAACGCTCGTTTAATTTGCACACAACAGAAACAATGTGCTCTTCAGACAATTTACGGACTGCAGCGGAGCGATTGCTCCGTGTGGCCTTCTTTCACGGCGTTAAATAACACGAAGTCGAGAGAGACGACATCTAAGTTGGCAATCAGGGAACCAGGGCACGGAGAAGCCATCCATCCCGTAATTGGTCTGTCGTCCCGTCTGGGAAATGTTTCTTCTCGTGTGACCTGGTTCTCGCAAAAGCGAATACCTGCCGACCGTGAAGCTCGACGGTCGTTTCGGTTTTGCGGGCTGATGCAACAGGTATATCAGTCACATTGATTACACACGCACGAAATTGAAAAACTCCAGACGACATAGTGAAGCAATAATTAATAAAAACTGACAGGAAGTAAAAACATAAAATCGTTACAGAAATATTGTATATAATACATATATAATTAATAGAAAATATATATATGCGTATATGTATGCACACGTTTGTGTTATATGAAATATCCTGTAATTCAACTCCTATAAGTCGAGTATTATTTACAAAATACTATTTTATACAATAATTTTTGACAATTTTTCCTTAGCGGAAATATCGAGTAAGTTCATTATTTTCACCGATTCTTCAATTTTCAACGTAACATATATTCCAAACTGGTATTCAAATGACAATTTCATTGTGAAACAAGTCCGATTAAAATTGATGAAAGAAAACTTTGTTATCCATTTACTCGAAACTTTGCTGCGAAAAATTCTATATTTCGATCGTTTGCACTTTGGAAACTAACGACGTTCTGATTGTCATTGTAAGAGGAAAATATCAAATCCTTATTGAGAAATAATTCTATTATATACGTATAATGTATGTAAATTATGGAATATCGTGTATATTGTATAACGTTGTATATTGTGTAATGTCATTTATTCTGTTTAAAATTTAATCTGCAACCGGAACATATACGTAAGTGTAAAGCACTTTTCATCATTTTGAATCCGATTGAAATTTCCCAAATTAATTGACATGAAAATTATATTGGGGACTTGAATAAGTTTTCGCTGTTTCCCGACAGATGGTGTTATCTTAGCCTTTTTGTATCGGGCAATACTACAGCCAACTTCATTGTGAAGCTCCACCATTAGGCTTAGCGAAGTGACAGTATATGTTATTCCGCCGAAGCGTAAACAACATATTTTTTCATAGCGTTAAACATGTTGAATTTCGTGCCAAAAAAAGAGTATTTGCGGGGAATTTTACTGCATTACTTTTTTCAAAAAAAAATATGCAGCTGAAGCACATAGAATTCTTGTGGAGACTTACGGCGACCATGCTCTGTCGAAAACAACATGCAGAGATCTGTTTAGACGCTTTAAAAATAATGATTTTGATGTTGAAGATAAAGAACGCTCTGGCGCACCGAAAAAGTTTGAAGACGAAGAATTGGAAATATTACTCGATGAAGACCCATGTCAGACGCAACATGAACTTGCAGAATCATTAGGAGTTGATCACACAACAGTTGCCAAACGTTTGAAAGTATTAGGAATGATTCAAAAGCAAGAAAATTGGGTGCCGTACGAATTGAAGCCGGGAGATGTCGAACGGCGTTTTTTTACGTGGGAACAGCTGCTCCAACGGCAGAAAAAGAAAGGTTTTTTGCATCGTATCATGACTGGCGATGAAAAGTGGATACACTACGATAACCCGAAGCGTAGAAAATTGTGGGGTAAGCCCAGCCATACATCAATATCGACGGTAAAGCCGAATATCCATGGTTCCAAGCTCATGCTCTGTATTTGGTAGGATCAGCTGGGTGTAGTATATTAGGAGCTCTTCAAACCTAACGAAACCATCACGGGAGATCGCTATCGACTACAATTGATGCGTTTGAGCCGAACATTGAAGGAAAAACGGCCGCAATACGAGGGGAGACACGACAAAGTAATTTTGCAGCATGACAACGCTCTGCCACATGTTGCAAAATCGGTCAAAACCTACTTGGAAACGCTCAAATGGGAAGTCCTACCCCATCCGTCATATTCACTGGACATTGCTCCTTTCGATTACCACTTGTTCCGATTGATGACTCATGGCCTGGCTAAGCAGCACTTCCATTCTTATGAAGATGCCAAAAAATGGGTCGATTCGTGGATAATCTCAAAAGATGAGTCGTTCTTTCGACATGGTATTCGTATGCTGCCAGAAAGATGGGAGAAAGTGGCTAGCGATGGACAATACTTTCAATGACATGTTCTTTACTAATTTTTTTAAATAAAGCATCCATTTTCACGAAAAAACAGCGAGAACTTATTCATGTTCTCAATATATGTAAATATATAAAATTGTAATTATATAGATATGTAATTATAATATCTAGATCTAAAGATGTAATAGAATGTATGTATATAGATAAATGATTATAATATCTAAATATATATCTAAATATATATCTAAATATATATCTAAATATATATCTAAATATATAGATATTATAAGTATATATTTACATGAACAAATTCAACTTAGGCGGTAAAAACGTAGGCAGTCTGAAAATTTCTCGGCCTAACAATGAAAGAAAATTTTTTTGCCGTGAAATATGTTTTATTTTCCAGTATAATCTCCTGAAACTTCAATACATTTATTCCAACGTTTTTCCAGTAATTCAATACCATTATTAAAGTGTGATTCTGGAAGGTCTGCAAAATATCCATCCACGGCTGCAATAGCCTCGTCATTTGATGTAAAACGCTTTCCAGCCAGGAATTTTTTCAGGTTTGGAAACAGATAATAGTCAGAGGGAGCCAAATCTGGTGAATACGCTGGCTGTTCAAGCAATTTGTACTTTAATTCGTTAAATTTTGCTATTGTCAAAACACTTGTGTGAACACGTGCATTGTCTTGATGGAAAACGATTATTTTCTTCTTTAAAGCAGGTCTTTTCGAATTTTTGCACCCAGTAGATCCAAAAGGTTTAATTAGCATTCAGAGTTAATTGTTTTACCTTTCTGAAGATAATCGATCAACAAAACACCTTTGTCCCAAATCCCAAAAACTTGTGGCCATAACCTTTCCTGCTGATGAAACCGTCTTTGCCTTCTTTGGTGCACTTCCACTGGCTTCAACCCATTGTTTCGATTGTTCTTTTCACTCTGGTGTATAGTGGTGGATCCAAGTTTCATCAACAATTATGAAACGATGTTTGAAATCCATTTTATTTTGCTTAAAACGATTCAAACATGCTTGAGAAATACGCATTCGAATGCGTTTTTGGTTAATTGTTAGCAAATGCGGCATCTATCTTGCACAAAGCTTTTTCATATGTAATTCTTCATGCAAAATATTTCCAATTCGTTCTTTTGAAATGCCTATGACCTCAGCTATTTCATGCATTTTGACTCGTTGATCATCTAACACCATATCATGGACTTGTTGAAAGTTTTGTGGTGTAACAGTTTTTGGACGACCTTCACGTGGATCATCTTCGAGGCTTATACGATCAGATTTAAAAAGAGTAACCTATTTTTTTACAGTGGAAAGTGAAGGTGATGCATCCTTATACACTTTTAACAATTTCGGATGAATTTTTGTGGGTCTTAAACCATCCAAAACAAAGGATTTAATCACTGCACGATATTCAATTTTTCCATTTTTAAAAAGACAATGGCACGTCAATATTAAACTGGTGCTACTACTCGAATGACTTGACAGAGCGAAATAAAATTTTACATGGGTTTATATTAGGGATGCCACTTTCTAATATAATTATAGTTTGACAGTTTCTAATGCCATCTATGTGTCAGGCCGAGAAGTTTTCAGACTGCCCTCGTATAAATAAAATAAAATTCCATTAATTTCACGACAATATTAAAAACGTTAATGTTCATTATTATTTCCAACATCTAAGTTGGTTTTAAATATGTTTTCATTAACTTTTATTTTTTAAATATTTAATAATATTAGCCAATAATATATCTCAAAAGTAGATATCGTGTTTTATTATGCATTAAAAACTATTCAATATTAAATATTCTTTTTCACTGTCATATTAAGTAACATTCCTTTTCAATACATAAAGAAATTATAGGGGAAGGAGAGAAAAAGATGCTCTCTCACTTAAAAAAGTAAAATTATATCTTATGTTAGCAATGGAACATAAATATATTTTATTTTTTTTTTAATGATTTAATTCAATTAACAAACTTGTAAATTAATTTTAATAAGATGCGACGCCTATATACACTAGCACGTATCCACAGCGTGTCTACAAGCACGCACGCATGCATGCTTGTAGACACGCATGTAGCCACGCACACGCGCGAATTACAATACATAAAATTAATTCCTGCCATTAAATATATAATGTTTATTATGTGATAAAAATTATCCTATTATATAATCTAAATTATCCTAATATAGGATAAAAAATTATCCTAATATATAAAAATCCTAATATATAATCAAGATAATTAAATTATTCCGTTGCATATACGATATAGTCGCATAATCGATATGTCTATCCTTTAAGATTGTTCGCGCTTAGCTCAGCGTGTTCCGTTCTTGTTATTTCTATTATTTCTCCTTCTCACTGTGATTACCCAATTCTTAGAATAATCACAGCTTGGAAGATGACTGCATTGTCATCGAACCGTTGCTTAGGTTTCTTATTATCGTATGGGAATCGGAAAATACAATTTACTGGAGAATATGCCTTAACATTTGAAATATCTAACCAGTAAGGAAAATATTTCACAATACAATACAATATCGTGATAAAAAAAAGAAAAAAGAAAATATTATTTAATCATGTTTTGTTGATTTTACGTTGTTTGCCTGTCAGAACATCGTCTGTTCGTAACATCTCCTTGAACTTTCCAAATAAAAATTTTAATGCGTGAATTAACAGCACTACCTCGTTAC